CTTCCCCCCCCCAGACAGCACCACTTGCAGCTGCACCAACACCCCCACGCCGACGTCAGCCCATACGCCAGCAACAACGCCGGCGCCTACACCGACACCACCACCGGCACCCACACCAGCCTCGACGCCAGCACCGACGCCAGCGCCCGCACCAGCACCGACGCCAGCACCGACGCCAACAACCAAGCCGATGTTGGAAAGCCGCTCCAAAACAACAAGGCCGACACCGACGTTGACGCCCACACCAGCACCACACCAGCACCGCATCAGCACCAGCACCACACCAGCACCGCATCACACCAGCGCTTGGACTTGCGACGCCGGCACTCACGCCTGCGCCTACACCAGCACCGACGTCAGCACCGACTCCAGCACCAACGCCGGCCATCTGACGACAACGCACCAGAGGATTCATGCGTCAGCACCGACACCAACCCCTACGCCGACGCCGAACCGGACACCAATGCCGCCTACACCTGCATTCGACCCGCGGTCGAATGAACCCTGCCCCTGGAGTCTTATCCCACCCCGTGGGATAATGGGTGCGCCACCCACCCCTTCTATCCCCAACTCCGACCCCCCAACTCCGACGTCCAGCTCCGACGCCAGCACCACCGACACCCAGCACCCATGCTTGTGCATGTGCCTTCACCGACGCCAACGCCTACACCAGCACCGACGCCAGCACCGACGCCAGCACCGACGCCGACGCCTAACCCGACACCATTGCCAACGCCTCGACCTGCATTCGACCCGCGGTCGAATAAACCTTGCTCCCAGGGTGTCATCCCACCCCGTGGGATAACGAGTGCGCCACCCATCACTTCTATCCCCAGCTCCGACTCCCCATCTCCGACGCCAGCACCACCGCCAGTGCCTACGCCAGAGCAGACGCCAGCACCGACACCAGCACCCACGCTTGTGCATATGCCTTCACCGACGCCAACGCCTACACTGGCACCGACGCCAGACGTGCATTCGACCCGCGGTCGGATGAACCCTGCCCCCGGCGTCTTATCCCACCCCATGGGATAATGTGTGCGCAACCCATCACTTCTACCTTCAGCTCCGACTCCCCAGCTCCGACTCTCTAGCTCCGACGCCCAGCTCCGACGCCCGCACCACCACCGGCGACTACGCCAGCGCAGACGCCAGCACCGACACCAGCACCCACGCTTGTGCCTATGCCTTCACCGACGCCAACGTCTACACCAGCACAGACGCCAACACCGACGCCAGCACCAATGCCAACGCCTAACCCGACGTCGATGCCAGCGCCTAGACCTGCACTTGACCCGCGATCGAATAAACCCTGCTCCCAGCGTCTTATCCCACCACATGGGATAACGTGTGCGCCACCCACCACTTCTATCCCCAGTTCCGACTCCCCAGCTACGACGCCAGCGCCACCACCGGCGCCTACGCCAGCGCAGACGCCAGCGGCGCCCCTTCCACTACCACCACCCGTGCCGAGCAGTCGCACCTCCATTCCAGCTCCGACTCCTGCTCCGACGCTGGCCCCGACTCCAGCTCCTACCCCACCGACTCCGACCTCCCAACGGATGAATTCAATGCACGACCCTGGCGCAGGGAGTTGCGCTGCTGGGCCCATGGCGCACCGGTACCACTACCCGTGCCCGTCACCTTGCAGCCTCCACCCTGCATGGGGAGGGCTACTAACAATCTTCATCGTGGTTCCGATTGTCTTCATCAGCCGTAGCACCAGCAAGATGGGCAGGGAGATCTTGATACCGGTGCCGGGGTACGACAGTATGATGGCGATGGCGTGAGCCGCTCTCTTGCAGGCCCCCTCCTTTGCGTTCCTCTTCCTCCGTCCCCTCCTCGTTGCCTGGGTGCCCGGGCTCTCCCAGTTCTTAGTTAGTGGATCTGGCCTGGTTCTCCTGCGGGGCAGGTGATCCTTGCTTCCTAATACCCCTTTGTGTTTCACTTGTCCTCCTCCTCCTCCCCCTCCTCCTCTTCGCGTGGCGCTACACTGTCCTGCTCACCTTGTTGTGTCGACGACGGAGTGGACGCGGAAATCTGCAGTCCAGCTTCCCCGCTTCCCCGCCGAGGTAGGGTTCACTCTGGCGCGAAGAGGCGAATGGTGGTTCGACGTTCTTGGGATGTAAAAAAAAGAGTGGCCAGCAGCAGGCAATTTCGTTCCACATCCGCACCGCTGCTGGCACTGAAGATCACTGAAGGGTGCGCCCGGGCCTCAGCCCACCCGTAGGCGTGGGGACACACGCTCGGGCGGGGCGGTGGCAAGGCCTGAGTTCGAAAGAAGGCTCGCAGAGCGAAGTCTTCAGCGCAATATATAAGTTCTTAGACAAGTGCTCAGCACTCGCCGTCTCTCGGCGCTTCGCCCTCCGTCTCAAGTAAAACGTCCTAGCACTCGTGCAAAATATGTGTACGAGATTATGCCTGTTTTTGGGGGAACCCGCCGCTCGCGGGAAGTAAACCTGCAGGAACCCAATTCTCCATTAAACGGATCGGACCAGGGGGGAGGAGGAGGAGGAGGAGGAGGAGGAGGAGGAGGAGGAGGAGGAAGGAGGAAGAGGAAGGAGCAGCAGCAGCAATCGAAGGAGGAACAGGGGGAAGGGGAGTAAGGGCCCCTCGAGCCGCGAGCTCCCTCAGACGCTGGGGGCTGACTAGCAGTGGCCACCTCACCACCTCTTTGGCGATCAGCGACTCCGTGCGAGCGTGAGCTGCAGCAGCAGCCCTACGCTCGGCAGCGTCCCCTCCCTCACCCCCCGCCGCTTTACCATGCTCCAGTCCCACATTATGCCGAGTAACGCTGGGTTAATCCACAAAACGCGTGCCAACTTCGCTGCATCTCTCATTGACCTGACTCACTGGGTGCGTGCCAAGATCGCTGACTCTCCCTTGGGCCTCACCCGCTTCATGATGCGTGCCGAGATCGCATCTCTCCTCGGCCTCACTCGCACCATGATGCGTGCCAAGAGCCTCGCGGCATCTCTTACGGACCTCACTCACTTCTGTGTGCGGTCCAGAGGCTTCGCCGCATCTCTCTCACGGGCCTCCTTTGGGGCTGCGCCCACCTTCCTCTCGCATCTCACAGCCTTCAGGTACTCTACAAGGTAGCGGCCCATGTCGGGGTGCGTCGTGTCGACCGCGAAAGGCAAACGAAATCGATCCGACTTCGACTCCTGCTTTTGAGTCTGAGTCTGCCGAGTGCGGCACTCCCTGACCTCGTCGGTTCAGTCGTACCGCCTCCGCCCAATATTGCTCGAAGCATTTCTTGCAGTCCGCGGGGCACTCGGGATCCTGAGCCGCTGCTTGCACCAGCGCCGTCCACGTCTGCAAGAATGGGGGCACCACCGAGGAGGCATCCCCGCCGGGTTCCTTGAGCTCCTGCACCTTGTTGTGGTACTTCACGCCGGCGGCCTTGGCGGCCAAGCACGTGACCTGCGTTAGTGGCAGAAGGAACGCCTCAAGCATCGCAGAGTTCTGACGCGCTCGTAGAAGAAAGCCTGGCAACTATGATCACAAGCTGCTTGCGCATGTCCCCGCCGCCGCCCTTCGAGAGGTCCTTCGCTTCTTCCACGACCTTGGCTGCCTTGGCGGCTAGAGGCTCGCCGTCTTTGCCCTCCATCGCCTCGGACGGCTCCAACATCCAAGCGGGCTGTTTGTCCATGGCCACCTTGACGTCTAACCCAGAAGGATGTGGAGGAGGAGGAGGAGGAGAAGGAAAAGTGAGACACGAGGAAGGAAGTAAACACTCCGTCGTGGCCTGGTTCGTTCAGCTTAGAAGCCTACGATAGGCCCTGAGACTATCCACACCACTGCATCCCAAACACTTGCGATGCAAGCCAGAAAGCTACACCGAAGTCTGGGGCTCTGCCAGAGGTCCTTACCTCGGACACAAATTACCCGAGCCCAGGCCCGCGGGCAACAAAATCGGACTTCCACGCCGCACCAATTGTTGCTCATGTCTGAGTTTTGCCCCCTTGTGCTGACAACCCCAAGCTCATGACAAGTGCTGTGGCGAAGCCGTGGTTATGGGGATGCAGGGCAAGCAGGCAGAGAGTGGGATGAGGAGGAGGCGAGAGTGGAGGAGGAGGAGGAGGAGGAGGAGGAGGAGGAGGAGGAGGAGGGGGAAGAGGAGGAGGACGAGGACGAGGACGAGGACGAGGACGAGGACGAGGACGAGGACGAGGACGAGGAGGACGAGGAGGAGGAGGAGGAGGAGGAGGAGGAGGAGGAGGAGGAGTGTTCAGCACGAGCGCCGAGAGCGCCCCCCAGCACTGGCGACCAGGGAGCGGGCGCCGGTCGACTCCCATCCGCGGCCGCACGGCCCCCCGTCGTGCGCTGCACGCCCGAGCGCCCACCTGCGCGCCGTGTCCACTCTCCGCTGGCGCGCGTCCCGCGAGGGTGACCGCTGCCGGCAGCGCCGACCCCCTGGGCTGCGCGGGCGTGGTGAGCTCGGGGCGCCCAATCCTCTGCGCGAGGGCCTGTCTGCTGCGACCGCCGGAGGGCGGGCGCCTCTCGGGGGGCCCTGGCCCGCCCCCACCGCGGCGCCGCCCTGGCGGCACCCCCGCGGCTCTCCTGATCTGCTCCGTGCGGGGGGCCGTGCGGCACGCCGCACCCCATCTTGCCATCCCCAGCGGGCCGGTGCGCCCGGGAGGGGGCAGGGGCAAGCCCTCTGCACCGGCGCGCGCCACAGGCCAGGGCGGTGCAGCTCGCCGAGGCTCCCCCCCAGGCTCCGTCCGGCTCCCGGCAGTCTCGCCGCGGAGCCGATCTCCATGCACCCCTTGCCTGCCGAAAGCCAGCAGCGGTCATCCGCACCCGGCTCCTCGACCACGAGGGGCCCTACCGCACTCAGGAGGTAGCCCCCAACGAGGTGGTGGGGGGAGAGTACAGGGAGGGATGGAGGGGGGAGAAGGCGGGAGGAGGAGGAGGATGATTAGATTGAGGAAGGAAGGGGGAGAAGGAGGGAAAAGGAGGAGGAGGAGGAGGAGGAGGAGGAGAATGAGCTCGAGGTGTGGGACCACGACATGTGGCCCAAGAAGCCAGATTTCCTGGGCAAGGCAAGGCTGCAGCTGACCTCGGAGCGGCTACCGCACGAGGAGACTGTGGAGAGGACGTTGACCCTCGAAAGCGACAGAAAGGGCATCAAGGCTCGGGGTCCCCCAGTGCAGCCGCAAGTCCCCAAAGTCACGAGATAGCGTTTGGGGATCGCTTATCCTGCTCCTCCTCCTCCTCCTCCTCCTTTTCTCCGTGTCTCTTCCTCCCTCACACCCCTTCTCTGCCTCCTTCCCTCCCTCCTCCGCTCCACCCCCCCGCTCCCTCATTCTCCTTCTCCATCCGCCTCTTGATCCTCCTTCGTCCTCCGCGTCCTTCCATCTCCGTTGACCTGCTCACTGCTTCCGTGCGCGGCGCATCTCCAGGCTTCCTGCCCTGGAGTCGTCGTCGGGGCTGGGCCCGCCCCATAGGCGTCCGCAGTGGTGGCGATCTCGGTTGGCGTTTTGGCCGCGGGGGGGGCGCGCCCACGCACGGTGGCCAGCACGGCGCTCGTATTCCCAGAGGGGGTGATCGCTACAGTCAACGCGCATAGTAAGGACAAACGGTTTTTTCAAGGGTTCGCAGGCCAGTTTCTCAGGTTCCCTGGGGGTTTGGCCGCCTGCCGCCCAGAATAATTCAACTTCGGCCTCCAAGGGTCTTGCGTCCTTACCACGCGTCCTTATTATACGTTTTCACTGTAGTCCGGTGATGCTGGCTGACTGTTCCGAGTGCTGTCCAGCGCAGCAGGATGATCAGTGATCAGTAACAGGCCGGCTGGCGCTCGATCCTCTTGTTTTCAACCGTGCAGGAGCTTCCGGGCAGCAGCGCGCAGTTGATGGAGCAGGCTGATTCCTTGCTGGTTCGTCTCTCTCTCTCTCTCTCGCTCTCTCTCTCTCTTTCTCTGTCTCCCTTGGGCGTTGGAGGGCCCGCCAGCAGGGCGAGAAGATGCGAGAAGTCCCGGAAGGCTTGGCTGCAGAAGGTCCTAAGGTCGTGGGCCATGGGGCTCGCCGTGCCCACGGTCCACACCTGCTAACGCTTGGAAGCCCTCCTCCTCGACCTTCGTTGCCGACGCCCAGGTGGTGATTGACCCCCTTGCTGCACTGCGGGTCGAAAGCCGCAGGTTCCAAGAGCTATGGTTCGTCGGCACCACCCTTGGGGACTACACCCAGCCCTGCGATGCTGCCGCTGGACCGGGACCGGCCGACGCCCTCGGGAGGGCCAGCCGCGAGGGCAATGGTTCTCGATTATTGTTCTTGCATCCACCCGATTTGAGAAATGGTGTCTCCGCTGTCGCCGCAGATTCGGCTCATTATATGCTGGCGATGTTCTAAACCGCATGAGGATCTCAGGCCGGCCAGGATCTTCACTTCTCCTTATGGCACATGGGGCAATGTTCGGCGAGCCATCGTGCTCGAGCGGGCGGATCGAAACAGCTTGGCTTTCTTCGCGGGCTACGGTTTCAAGAGCCTTCTGGCCGTCTGGAGGCAGACCTTGCTGGAGTCATCTCGAGCTGTCCGAGGCAAGGGAGGTTTCCCCAGGAGTGATCGGGGAAGTGCGCTGGGACAGGAGGGACATCTGCGGCCATCAGCTTAGGCATCGACGACGCGGCTGGGAGGCCTCGTCGGGCTCGGGGTTGTGTCGTTCGGCATCGGCGTCGGACCCGCGGGCTTCTCGGGTGCGGGTTCGAAGAATCGCTCGCCAGGGAGAGGTGCTGGGTCGATCTGACCGTCGTTGGTTTGCCAGCCTGCCTTTCCCTGGGATCAGTTCCAGGGCAGACGTGCACAGCGAGATTGGTTTCGAAATCTAAGTTTCTGCGCCCTGCTGCGCTGGTCTTCGAGGACGAGCTGTGCTGGTGCGGCGCGGCGCGTCAGTATTCGGGTGGAGGAAAGAGGTCTGGTATCCCTACGTTTCGCTGGCCGGGGCCAACATCTTCCAACAGTCGCAACTCAACCGGTGTCGTGGTCCAGTGAGCGCGGCCCTGGCGGGCGCTGCATCTTTCGGTCAAGCATCTTCGTCAGACTATGCCCAGCTGTGCTGTTCTCTGGGGCCATCATATGGCGGATCCCCTACTTACCCTCATTAGCCTTACCCCCCTGGAGGGCATCCTCAGGAGGACCACGGCCAGGCTCCTCGAGACCCAGATACCTAGCAGGTTGGGCCTTGGTTGGGGCAGGGCCTGCTCAGACACTGTCAAGGCCCAGGCCAAGTCGTGCAAGTTCCCCTCCCTGCAGCGCGTCTCCGTCTGCAGCCCGAGCTGCGGAGGCGGCTGGATTGGGGGCCGTGCTGTCGAGTCTGGCTAAACGTCTAGTCGCCCGAGAGGCCGCTGTGCCCGCTGCGCGGCGAAGCTCGGGACACGATCCTTCGCCGCCAGTGGCAATATGCAACCTGTGCCGAGAAGCGCGACTCTTTGGCCTCGGTTTCAGATCTCGTCGCATCGGAAAGTGGACTTATGTCCGATGCCAATCTTGTGCCCTTCACCCGCGAAGGGTTCGAACGCCCCGATCGTTTCTGGCCTCACTCGGTGTCGTTGGAGGCCTGCAGACCAGATCCGATGGAATTCCTCGAGCGTAAACGGGGGGCTTGCAGAGGCAGCTCTTCTGCGACGGGTTATGCTTCAAGCGTCTGGCTGTTGACCTAAGTCGGGCTGGGTGGGGAGCGTGCATGTCAGGTTCGGCAAGATGTCGACTTGAAGTACGTATGCAGTGCTTGGCCCTGTCTACTACCCACTGCTCTCCTAGACTGCTCTTGCTGATGGGTCTTCGGCCCTCGCCATGGCCAGCTTGCAAGCCGTCGGGCACAGCAGCGGTTTTCTGATTGTAACGCAGTGGTGCGGCAGCAGGAGGAAACCCTCCCGCGGAGCGCCCTCGGTCTCGGAGGAACTGCGCCGGACTTGGCTGCCCTGATACGCCCGCGTTGAAAGGCAACAAACTAGCGTGTCGCGCCCGGCCTACGTTGTCAGCCTGCGCGTTGAGCTCCGTGCCAACACGCTACGTGTTGCAAAAACACCCGAACGAAGGATTGCAAAACAAAAACCCAAGGATTGCAAAAAAAAAGCGAAGGATTGCAACAAAACCTTCGGTTTTTGTGCAATCCTTCGTTCAAGGGTTTTTTTTGCAAAACCGAAGGGTTTTTTGCAATCCTTCGGTTTTTTTGCAATCCTTCGTTTCGCATCGGGGCAGCTAAGATGCTGGAGTGTTCCGGTGTGCGAATGCGTCACTTCACCTTGCCAGCGTCGAGAAGGCGAGGGCCCGCCCATGCGCCGATGAGTTGGGTCTGTCCCTCTGGGAGGTTTTCGGCGTCAGGAAAGCGGCCATGTTGATGAGTCCGCCTTCGCTGAAGCTCTCCTCCATTTTCGCGCGTCGGCGCATGAGCATGCACATGTAGACAGCTTAAGTCGGATGTCTAAGTCGGCATGCCTCCTTGCCGCCAAATTATTGCGTTTCTGACCTCGTCTAGATATGTTGGGCTGCGAGCTTATGCGGAAGGCCACCCGGGCCAGAGAGCCTCGGGGGTTGGCTTCGCCCCACGATAGGGTGTGGCATTCGAGAATATGGCGTTACACTGTTTGCAGAATTGGATCTCGATCTGCGTTGCAGCCTGGGCCTGGGAGTTGCGGTATTTCTGACATGCCTGAGCTCGATTGTACATATTCCGACATGCACAGTGTCGCCTTCCTCCCTGCTCAGAGAGGGCAGGTGTGCCTCTGCGCATTCTGTGCGGTAGTTATCTTCACCAGACTGTTTTCTATATATGCTGTCTGTGCGGGGTGTGCCCAAAGGAGGTCATCCGCCACGGCCGGACTAGCTTTCACAAGGCACTGAAATGTGAGCTTCCTCATCGCTCGGATTTGTACGTCGATCGGCCCGTTGCCCGTCCGTCTTGTGCTGGCCCCAGGTGAGAGCAGGCCTTCTCACCAGTCAAGCAGTGTCTCAGTGTGCCATCCAGCGCATGACCGGTTTCCTGACCTTGACACGTTCTGCCTTTTTTGCATCAGTGTGTTGCTTGTGTATTCTGTCCAGCCGTACGCCGTTTCACAATGCTTTTCTAGAAGGCGCTGAGTCGCGGTGGCCACGGGAGGAGGGTAAAACGAAAACGCTGGATGCGTACGGCCCAGCGCGTTGCGTATAATGCTCAAAATTGCGTGACTGGGCCCAGGCGCTTAATCACTATTAGCACAAGGGCGTTCCTTTTGTTGGACCTCGGCAGTCTTTCAGTTGCACCGGCGGCAGCTCTCGTAGATGTTCTAAACATGCTTCTCGTCCATGCATTCCCCCTCCTCCCCCATCTTCCTCCTTCTCGTCGTCTTCATCGTCCTCCTCCTTCTCCATATGTGTTCTTTCCCTCCTTCATTTTTCCTCCTCACCCTCCTACGGGAGTCAGGGGTCTGCCTTCAATCCCCCCTCCTTCCGCCATCTCCGCCCCACCCCCTCAAGGAGGGCGAGGGACCTCCAGCCTGTAGGTCGAACCCGCTTGTCTGGAGTGAACCCGCCCCCAGCCTGGAGGCCGAAACCTCACGTGGGATGTTCGGGGTGCTCCAGCGAGGAGGGCCTGGACCTCTGGCGACCCAGAGAGATTGCGCCGGCGTTCTCTCTTTCTCACTCTCGCTCTCGAGTTCTCTGGGGCCCCAGGCCGTCAATGAGCTGCCCAGGATTGCACAGGATGGAAGGCATGGTCTTGGGGGAGGTGTCGAGGCATTCGGGGGTCGGCGATTCGAACAAATTGAGTCGTCGGAGGTCCAGAGGGGGAGGGGGACAAGATTGGCTTTGCGGCCGTAGCACGTCCTCCTCCTCTTCCTCCTCTTCCTCCTCCTCCTCCGCCCTCCTCCTCCTCCTCCTCCTCCTCCTCCTCATGCTCCTCCTCATCATTCATCGTTCATCCTTCGTCCTCTTCCTGCTCTTCTTCGTCCTATTTCTTGTCCTGGCCACCTTCTTCCTCACTCCTCTTCTTCCCTCCCTCCCCCCCTCACTCGCCCACTCCC